CCTTTGACTTTCCTATGGTCCCTTTATACCTTCCTATATATACATACATATAGTATTTACCATATTACTATATCGACCTTCCTGAGTCTATGTGATGATATGTAATCACAGTTGATTTGAAGGCTTTTATTAAATTATTCCAATAATCTTTGTGTTTTTATATAGAATTTTTACTTTTTGTCCCTCTGTTATTCTAACTTTATGGTATTTCAGAACAGAAATTTGAAAAGCCATCTTAAAAGAAGAAAAAATACTTAAAACTGGTTGTTTTTCCCTCAGGTAACAGGGGATCCAAATGTGTATGCAGGGAAGATTTCAGTCAAAGTGTCACTTCGGTTTCCTGTAAAACCTCTGTCAAAAGTAGAGCAAAGGTCCTATGCAATTCTAAAAGACATTGAGCCAGAACAGAGTGCAGAACCCATCTCCAGCATCAAACCACAAGCCTTCATTCCCCCGGATGGCTTTGATCTTCGTGACACGTCTCCTCCAGACAACTGTAAGGCAAGGTGAGGAACCCGAAGCATTATTGGCATGAGTGATTCTGTAAGATGTCCACTCTTAGTTATGTGATTAACACTTTATCATATTAGATTTAATTTTACTTTGGAGGATTTTTGTAAAAAAAAAAAAAAAAAAAAGAGGCAGAAAGCAAAAATAATAAAAGACCATTCAACTGCTAAATGATGAGAAATGACCAGTTTATAAACTAATGACTGCAAAGGGAATGAACAATATTAAAGGCTGCAGAAGCTCTCTGAAGCTGTGGGACATCAGGTTTTACATATTCCATATATTTTCAGATATCATGGTTTTGGTCAAATAGCATTTGAAGGATTTCAACACCCTAACTTCATTGGAGCACATATCATGGTGTTCAACAATGACCTGCTTGGAGTTGCTTGGATTACTCTGGAATCATTCAGTCTGTTTCGACGTGTTAAAAATACTTTCACCCAAAATATTCTGACTGATGTTGAAAGCGCTTTATAAGATGAAAGAACGATAAATTTGTTGAACCTCAGTTCTACTCTTTGTTGGATGATTTTATTATCATTATTATATATATTTTTTTCATTTATTTTATTTATTTAATCTTTATCATCATTACTATCATTCCAATGTGTTGTAGTTGTTCTTTAGATATTTGTGGGCTTTCCCCTCTCATACATTTGATGTACAATAATTTTGGTTTACTTTGCATTAGCAAAAAAAATTGCATTAGTGATAATAGTAACTTTGTTTTTATTATCTCCCAATTAAAGACGGTAATAAGATCTTTTTAATTATGTTTATATACTTCATCTAGTAGTTCAATACATTTGGGAATTCTTTATGGAAGATTTTTTGTTTGTTTATAATAGGTAAAAGAAATTCTCTATTTTGTATACTTTTTATTTGAATGATTATAGTTTTTCTTTATTCAAGGTTCATTTATAAAATGTGCATCTCAAGCAGACTTGAGAATGGTGTGATATGGCCTTACTTCGTAGGTAATAAAACTGTAACACAAGCACCTAATGTTACTGTGTTAATTCATTCTCGTGTATGTTATTGCTCTTGGAAAACCAAATATAGATTGTAAGACTTAAGATTTCTGCAATAAGATATACATGAGGCTGAGGTAGAAAAATTTAGCTGGGATGGGGAGGGGACTTGGGCAAAAGGGAAGGAAGAGGTTTTGAAGGGAAGGTGGTACACCTGAACTATGCTTTGGGGAATGATGATGTATGCAATATAAAACCACAATTATATTTGTCTGTTGTTTGTTTTTGTGATGTGACGAATTTGTGGACACTAATATTTTTTGTTAACTTATTGATATTATCTCCCAGAGGGTAGATAGGGAAGGAAGGGGGGACAAGCACCGATTTAAAGGAGGCAGTTCCCCTCCATACCTTTTGCAGATCCACCATTGCATCAACTTCTCTTTACTTTGTTTTTTTCCTCTTATAAAATGATGTAAAGATCAGTTGCAAAATATTTCATTCTTATTGACAGCAATAATTGTGTGATTCCATTTAACAACATGCAGTAGTTTTTTTTATTTTTTTTTTATTTTTATTTTTTTTTTTTTATAGTTCAAAGGGTACTTTTCCTTTTTTAGTTTGGTCATAAGGACTATGTGTAGGGCATACTTGATGCATGTTTAAGAATGCTATTTCTGAACTATGAGTAACTTGCGCACAAAATTTGCAGAGTAAAGTGAAGTAGAAGCAATGGTGATATAAATCACTTAAAATTATCCATACAAAAATATTGCAGCACATAGTTGGTAAATTAAAAGTTAAATATAAAGTATATTCCATTCATGTTATTTTTTACATATATGACAGCATTACAGTGACTAACTTGAAAAATAACTGAAGGAGATTCGTATTTGAATGATAAAGTATTGTTAATCTGGCCTTGAAGATGGAGGGATTGTGTTGCCTTTTTGTAGAAGTGTGTGTATACATGTGCATAATATTGTTTGCACATTATAATTTTTCATATATATATATGTGTCTTTTATTTGCCCTCTCTTAATTGTAAAACTTTAATCCATTGCCACCTGTTTTGTAAAATCCGTTCACAAAGAGATGGTTCCATAAGTGCTCGGCCACCAAGGAAACAATTCTTGGTCCACGTGACTTTACCTGATTTCACTTTTCCTTGAGTATTCAATTTTTCTTTCTGTTATAAATTTTGTTCCTGTTATTATCAGTATTAACATATATGATTATTATAATATTAATACTAATGATGCTAGGGTAAATAGATTCACTACTGATTAACAGACAAAAGCAATTCTACTGTCAACAGCATGTGTTAGTGCTGAGAAGTAATAAAAGTATTTATATACAAGAATAAATTGATTGCAGTGTCTTGAAAGTGGTATTTACTACCTGAAAAGCCAGTAGTTTATCAAATATTTGCAAATCTAAATTGTGTAATGGAATACAGTATTCACATGCAAGCAAGGTTAAGGTAATACAATAGACGTCATTCTTCTTACTGTTATTGTTAAACATGTGCTGTGTTGTATTATAAAGTATTTAATCAATATTTACTAAGTAAGAGCAAATTCAGCACTGGTAGTATCTCTGGCACATTAGCAGTGATACAAGATGACTTTATCAAGATGCAAACAAAATTATCAATACAACAGTAATCCCTAACAGTGAAATACCTCCAGCTGCCTGTTTGAAAAAAAGTCAACATACGGATGATTTACCCATCAGAGGTGCACACTTTTGAACAGAAACGCATCGTATTAATGAAAAAGATGGGGCAAGATAGTTAATCAGTGTAAGGAATTACTAGATTATTTGTTAACTTGTCAAATACAAATGTGAAAATGGGGATTATGAATACTTTTTTTATCTATTTATTAGATATGAATGAAGCACTATCAATATTCAGCTAAAAAAATTTAATGAATAATTTACTGGCACTGACCAAAGATATCCACATCCCTGACCATAAAAACTAGTAATTAAGCAAACAAGTGTTTAAGACCCTGCATTTTGTACAATTTACATACCCTTGGTACTAGTTTTTTTTTTTTTTTTTTTTTTTTTTTTTTTTTTTTTTTTTTTTTTTGAGAAATTTTGTCTCTTATATTTCTTATTCCTGTCTATCTGTGTCCATGTTTGCATTTTTGCCTATCTATGGCAATGTCTGGCTCTGTTCCTGATGTTATTATCATTCATTATCATTTCATGTAATAATAAAATTATATTGATTTGCAGACATTAGGATAAAGCAAGCTACAAACGGAGAAATACATAAAAATGTCAGCTTCTATTTTTATCTAAACATTCAGACAGGTTATTCTCCATGGAATATTTCAACAGAATGACTGCGGAGAACAAAGATTCCGAAATTTGCTACAAATCTGCCTTTGTTGAAACTAGGTTATTTTTGTTTTGTTTTGTTTTTAGTTAATAAATTATTTTCATCATTAACATATTCTGCATGCATTAGGCTTTTACTGCAATAAAATATCTATATGCACATTAAAAGATTAATAAAACACAAATGTGAGTTGCAACATTTAATTGTTACAAAAAAATCAGGTGTAAAAAAATTATACAGGTAAAAAAAAATACATATTCATGATTGGCTCAGAGAGTATATTAATAAAAAAAAGGAAACATTCATACTGGTTTGTGTATGTATAAAAAGTATGTATGTACAAGCATGCATGTGTTTTTAATACTGGAAACTGTTAATGGGTTTGTGCAATCTATGAAGTTGATTTCCATTTTAAACCATGAACATTCAATAATCTGGTTAAATGTGTATTAAATTAAATTACCAAGTGGGAGTATTTACTGCCTTTCCCTCTTATCATGAATTGACATCATCTCTGACCTGTCATCCAAGGGATAACACATGAATATCCTTTTCTTATACAGTTATCAGCTTCTGAATATGTTAATTGAGAGTAGTATTAACCACCTTGAAATGTGAGGAACTCTTGCAGGTAGTTGCATCACTGAACCTTTATCTGGATCTATTACAATTATATACATATATCAGTAGAGAAAATACGTAAAAAGGCTAAACCTAAGTTTAATACCTACAAGGAATGTATAGATCACCTTTCAACTGATTTCAAAATATATAATTCCCTAAACACATGAACATAACTCCATATGTTCAATTAATATAAAATAAATTCATCAAACATTTGCTCAACAATAAATTTATCAACCTACTCATCTTGCAAGTATCAAAATCCTTTCTGAGATGAGCAAAACACTTCCAATTCCCTTTATGAAAATAATAAATGTAACATAACTTGGAAATTGTGATAAAATCAGACACTCATAACAAAACTCAGTGATAAATCCCTTCAACCTTCAAAATCAATAGTATAAATATTTTTTTGTCAATCTACATTGTACAGTAAAAAAATTCTTAATACCATGCACCCAAATCTCTCACTGGAAATAATTTCACTTTTCAGGTTTATTACACACACCACTAAGAAGACTTTCAATGCCTCTTAAAACCTTGGAACAAAATAACTTAAGAATAAAGCCCATGTACTCCCAACTTTTATGAATGAACTTGATTCATTACAATAAGTTTGATTATATCATCATCATAAATACATGATGAAGATATAATTGAAACTGGTCAAATACATCTCTTTTATTGCGAAGATATTCTTTCTCATTCATAGCTTTTTTACTTTTATGAACCTCTTTTGAGCTGGTTTACATCCCTACACTAGAAAAAATATACAAATAAAAGTTCTCATATCTAAAATACTGGAATTGTACAACAATATCTCAACAAAATAAAAATGCATACCTTAGAGGTGTAAACTGCACCAAAACAAATAATGTTAAAGTTTCCTTTCAAATCATAAATCTAGCACTAGGAAAATATATACGTATATAACTTGAAATGTCTTGAAAAATACTTTGACTGCCATTACTATATCACAAACTATATATTAATACTCTTGTCACAACCAATGTTATTACTTTTGAATGCTCTTGTCACAACCTTGGATTAAGACTAAAAACAACCATACCATAATCACTATGCCTGCACTATGTAAGTACACAGTCTACAGTATTAGGGAGAAGAATCATTCACATAAAATTAATGTACAGTTTTATCTTTGCAAATCAAATCTTCAACATTCTCAAAATTAAAGCCCAATTTACTTTCAAAAATAAGTCTTGACTCAAGGAATATGGATGACGTCTATTCTTCCCATGACAAATCAGGCCAAAATGCCAGGTGGCAAGTATTCATGCCATGCAAATCAGCTAGCATTGTGATGTGTGCACATGCAAAGCCCTGACAACAGTCACTGAGGATATACATCCCCTCACAAAGAGTTCAAGTCTTTAATCATCTTCATTTCCTAAAAAAAAATTGTATGCTACAACCAAAATCGTATAGTGTACATAATTAGATTTCGTACCCTGACTGTATGTGGTAACCAGCACATTGCTTAATATGCCATGGGAAAACAATGTCATCATTGGGTTAACATATCATAAAATTAATATTCAACCATGTGAAAAATATCAACAGAGCGAATCCAATCCATAATAATAATCATCGTCAATATTGTCATATTATTCCATATAAATAAAATGAAGAATCACTTGACATTAGCACACATACTACCTGTCATGAAGCAGATCCTCTAAATTTAATATAAAATACCATGAGATTCCACTCCTTTCCCTTTTTCCAAAATCTTGTTTTTACTATACAGTATTTGGCTGATCTAGCATACAGAACTCAATATTTATTACAGCATGTTAGTATTTAAGTTTAAATACTGTTAACATATCTTTTTTTCATAACCTGAGTCTGGACTCAAGAGTATAATATACTGTTTACCTATACCCTCAGAGATTTCTATAATTATTAAATTACTTATCTATATGAAATAGCAGTTTATCTTATATAATTAGTGCAATAGGATTTCTAATCTTAAATAAAGTATCCTTTTGCATTTGGAAACATGGTCTTTAAATAATTATAAAACTCATAAACACACAAATAGAAACATTCAAAGCCCTTACTTTCACCCTGTCAAGTACAAATTCATCACTTTTTAGTTCCAAGCTTCTCTTTAAGTTCCCACCCAGTGTGCTGTATTCCACCATCACCTAGGTCTATCTTAACTCTCTTTTTCCATTCCTCCTTGTATTTTGTATATGTGTACATGAAGCCTCCCACTGTGTTTAACACAATGCCTGTTAAGAAAACAAAAAGTTAGTTTTTTGTACCTGATGAACACTCTGTATGGACACTATCTACAAAATAATGCCACATTTTCATATAAATATCACATATCATATCACTTTTCTCTCACTCTCTCATCATGCATGAATGTATTAGGCATAAAAAGGTATGAGCACACAATCAGAGACAATGACATAGACATAAGCATCCATGCATTACATGCTCACGCATGCGAACACACACCCACGCACTCACTCACACACTCACGCATGCACCCACACACTCACACACATCGACACATATGCAAACACACACACACACACACACACACACACACACACACACACACACACACACATTTACAGTCAAATATTAACCTACCAGTTAAATTCAACCCCCAAAGACGAAAAGCAATGACACACCACACCATTGAAGGCCGAGAGCAGGTAAAGAATCTTGCAGTTGTTGAGCATTGTGCACAGGAACAGTGAGAAATTAAGCGAAAGGCCGAATACCAGTAGCACCAGCAAGATTATAAGAAATCTTGTATCTGCAAATATGTCAGAGAATTGAGGAAATGATTAGTTTCTCCATTGGTGTCCTGAAAGAATTTGCATTTCTTTTTGTTTTATAAGTTTGACTCTATCCCACAAAATCACGATATAGCCTATATTTCCATAAATGCTTACATCCTTAACACACTACAACATAAACATCAAAACTGACTTGTCAGTATAAAATCATCCAATTTTTAATTTCTAATTAATAAATTTTTTTGTGTTATTTCCCATATTT